TTTTAATTTTGCTATTTAAGGGATTTTGTGTTGATTGCATATTTTGGAAGTCTTTGTAAAATTATCCACAATTATCTACTTTTTGAAAATTTAGAGCTTGAAATATTGTAAAGACGTATCCATTGAAGAAACCAGAGCGTTGACCTTGTTTAGCTTTGTCGTTAATTTCTTTGCTGTCTTATTTATAATACCCGACATCTCCTTTTATTTACACAAATGAATCTGGAAACGCTTTAAATTATTTTACATGTATAGATGTAGGAATCTAAACCGCGATGGTACTCCGAACCGCGATGGTTACGCTGAAATGCGATGGTTGGACGCTGAAGTGCGTTTTTGATCACGCTGAAGTGCGATGATGGCATTGTGACACTATCTTGTTGTTTGCTACGCCAAAGTGCGATGGTGGTTACGCTGAAGTGCAATGAACTACATAATCTATATTTTTCATGTTTACATGCCAATGTAGATATCAATTTGTTTGTCAGAAGTAGTTTTTCATTTTTTCTTTAAGGAAAACATAAAGGGTATCCCTGTTTAATTTAAAACAGTCATGGTAAATAGTCATTGCATTTCCAGTCCTAATTGTAACGTTGTAGTGTACTTAGTAAATAACTTATACAAAAAAAAAGCAGTCGTTCATACAATCGTTCAGAAATTGACCACTATAGAAACTATATAAGAAGGTTGGTTGCCTTTACAACCAGTGCTAATTGCAATGACTAAAAAACGTGGAAGTTGTTTAAAATGAAAATACTTCTTCATTAGTCAGAACGAAACAAAATGAGTGAAACATCTATACGGCTGCTGTGAATGAGGAGAAGAAATGAGATAGATCACTCGGTAGATGGTTTCTACTGCAACTGGAGAAAATATTGAATGTGTGATATTTATATATACTAACTATAAAAAATATTTAAACTCTCATAATAATTGGACATCTGTGAATTTTAAACTAGTAATCACGGGTCAAATAGACCATCGCACATCAGCGAAAGGACCATCGCACTTCGGCGCAGACCATTGCATTTCAGCGTGATCATCGCACTTCAGCGTCCCCATCGCACCTCCGAGTCCTACACACATATATATATATATACAAGTCTAAATTGAAAACAACGTTCAAACCTATGATTGCGTTGGATAAAAACCGCAATTTTTATACGTGTGCATGCAAAACAAATTTCTTGGTAGAGGGGTCTAAATACAGCACAAACAACATTTTTCAAAAGACCAAAAGAGTGAAAAAGGTATATTTTAACAAAACGCATTTGACTAGCAGGTCGAACAACGGATGTTCTTAAACCCTGCTGACTGCCATGGCGACTGCCAAATAAACGGATCACAAGATGTAACAAAATGGATCTTAATATTTAATTTAATACCAAACAGAAAACAATAAACTTGCGGAAAAGATGGTATACCGCAAACACGAGGTGCAAAAATTTGTACACCATATCCGGATTTCGACAATTAATGTCTCTTCAGTGATGTTAGGAATCAAAACGGTATTTGGAAGGCCATATAATTTACCTCAATTTAGGATTGACTCTTGAATTTTGAAGAGTCGAACTATATATATATATATATACCTGCTTTCATAACACCGTTTACGGGACTGAGAAAACCAAGCAACCGTTCCTGTAACGACGCCTATGTGTGTATAATATCCCTCCCTTCCCGAAAAATTTATCTGTATTAATCGTATCAAGTCTTAATATTTTCCCCATTGGAAGTTGACCTTATAAGTTGACCGTTTTGGCATCAGAACTTCACTGTACTGTGCTGGATGTTGCTGTGAAAAGGAATTCGACGCATGCCTACATCAACCCATCCCTCTTCTGTACTATCCTATAGACCCGAGATAAAAGAACATTAAAATTAATTGAAAATAAGTCATTTGAAAATACCTGTTTTCAGATTTTTTTTTATGCTTTTGAATTATATTAGTTAATAGGTACTTAGCTTTAACTTGTGTTAAGTACAGACAGAAGCATTCGCGATCATTCATATATTTACATGTTTCTATGGACGTAACATTTATAAATGGCTCTGCACAATCACAACACTTGGTTACTTGGTATAGCGTAAATTAGTTAAATCGCTACGTGTTCATTTTATAAACCTTAATCGCTGTTTTGGCTTTTTATAGATAAGTGTGTAATATTATTATCCTGTATAACGATACGCATGAGTGATAACTAACTTTATTGATGATTTTTAACTCAGGAACTGATCTAAAATACACTAACAAATCATTTATGAATATGAAAGGTAAAATATTTTTTTATTATATCTGATGCAAACACAATTAAATAATAAAGACAGAACAAAACTCAATTAACTTGAATCACTTTTGTGCTTGACCTTCCGTCATTAAAATATTGATTCAACACTTCACTATCAACTTGATTGAACGCTTCATTGTCATTTTCATGACCTACTATCATGATTTTTTCCGGCCTCACTGACGGATACGCCGCTCACATAGAAAAGATGCACCCCGATATTAACCAATCAGGCGTTAAGAAAGCCTTTACATCACACGGAACAAGCTAATATTCCATTTTAAAAGGGGGTTCCAACCCAGGATAAAGGGGGATGGTTCCAACCATATGTCCCCCTTCAAAAGCATTAATCGTCAAAAAAAGGGGTGTTTTCAACCCCCGAAAACCCCGCCCCCCCCCCCCCCCCCCCCCCGGCCCCCACTCCCCCCCCCCCCCCCCTGGATCCGTCACTGAATAAATTTGGCAAGAATTTCCTTATCTTTCATATGAACATTGATGGTATTAACTCAATTTCAGGTTAAAATAAGCGGCCAGAATTTTATTTGAATACACTAAAAGCATGGGTAAAAACAAAAAATAGAGCAGCCAAAAAAACTTTAGATCTATTCGTCAATAAGTTATTTGGGGAAATCAGTTCATCAAGATAAAAAATGAATACCTTTTATTTCAAAACTGGATAAATAGTAATATTATCTATGTAAACAACATTATAGATGAAAATGGTAGCATATTGGAGAAACAAATTTTACAAAAGCTCAAGATGAAATATAATTGGATGTTAGAATTTTCCCAAATAAAGAAAGCTTTTCCAAAAGAATGACTAAATACTTTACAACAAGAAAATTCAAAGAAAACTAAAGTAAAAACAAGTTCTGTAATATACATTAATAAGAACTGTAATTATATAGAAAAATTAGAAAATGTAGACACTAAGAAAATTTATAACATATTTATGCAAAATGAGATTGAAATACCGGTTGGTTTTAACCGATGGAAAACAGTGTTAAACATTGATTTATTAAGAGTTCAACATGTAATATATTAAAATTTGTTCATCATTATTTGAAAGAAAATAAGTCTAAAGTGTTTCGTTGGAAATTGATACACTTTAGATCACTTTATTCTACCTTGTAAAACTTTATTAAAACAGTAGAATATCTGCAATACTTCAAATTGTCATTATTGCAATACCACTGAGGATTATGATCACATGTTTCTGAAATGTCACTTTCTTGATGATTTCTGGAGTAAAATAAAAAAAACTGAATATTAATATTAATATTCTAACATTGAACAACTTTACATTAGTAATATTTTATGTACATTTTAAGTTTCTGTTTAAATGATAAAAGGGTGAGAAAGTGGGTGATTGTTTTTATGTCTTACTCGAACAATTTCAATTCAAGTAATAAAGGTACATCAGAACAGTGTAGATTTCACTCACAAACAAAATATATATTAAATTGTGTCTATTAGTAGGAGAACTTCCATAATTTTCAGACAATTTCGCAAACGAAATTCAGCCATGCAAATCATGTTTTTGTGCCCCGCCGTAGCGGAGGGGGTATTAAATGTTACCCATGTCCGTCTGTCCGTCCGTACGTACGTACGTATGTCCCAAAATTGGTTTCCATTCTCTAACTTTAGTTTGCCTCAACCAAATGTTATGAAACTTATACACAATGCTTATTACAACAAAACACAGATCAAGTTTGAATTTAGGTGGGGTCACTTTTACCTTTCTAGAGTTATGCCCCTTTATAAGTGGAAAAATTGGTGATTTTTTCGTTTCTGTTCTCTAACTTAAGATTGCCTCAACCAAATGTTATGAAACTTATACACAATGCTTATTACCATAAAACACAGATCAAGTTTGAATTTAGGTGGGGTCACTGGGTCCCATGGACACATTCCCAATTTATTTTTAATTATAAAAACAAACCAATGTTTTCATTCTGAAGTAATCATTTATATTTGAATAACTTTTGATACAAACTCCTCTTCAAAGTGAAAATAAAACGTGCATGCAACAAGTAGTGCATTATTGGGAACATATAACAGATACGATAAGTAATAATAAGGAATGCATGCAAAATGTAGTGCATTATTGGGAATATAAAACAGATACGATAAGTAATAATAGGGAATAAGCATCACTTAGTGGGAACATATAACAGATACGATAAGTAATAATAGGAAATACGCATCACTTAGTGGGAACATATAACAGATACGATAAGTAATAATAGGAAATACGCATCACTTAGTGGGAACATATAACAGATACGATAAGTAATAATAGGGAATAAGCATCACTTAGTATGTACAAAGGGATGAGAGCAGTTTGGTAGAGATTACTATACATGGATCATGAGTTTATCAGAAAGACTTCACATGTATATTTGCCATGACTTTAGTTGAATTATCTATGTCTAACTTGCTCAATCTTCTACAAGAATTAATTATTGAAATTAAAATAATAAGATGTGGTATGGCATTTATACAACTATTCATTAGAGACCAGAGGACATAAATGTAAACAACTTTAAAACATTGTCCTTGATATAGCGTACATGTCCTAATGTGACATTAATGGTATGTAACATGATTTTAATGGTGAAATTGGTAAATTACTGGACACTATTACTCAGTTAAACTGTTCTTATCCCTTTGTAACCACTAAATAATTTTACGATTTCATTAAATTTGTAGAAAACGCCATCACGTTAACGCAAAGATGAAAATTTTGATATGTGGTGGAGGAAATGGTGCACACTGTTTTACAGCTCTAGCTTCAGCTTGTCAAAATGTTGAGGTCAACGTTCTTACCATATATAAAGACGAAGCAGAAAGGTGGACAGATGCACTGAAAAGTAGTGAATTGATAGTTTCTATATCAAAACCAGATGGGTCGGTAACAGAAACACATTCCAAACCATCATTGGTAACAAAGGATCCTCAAGTTGCTGTGGATGGAGTACAAATTATTTTTATCGTCGTCCCCGCTTACGTTCATCAGTTCTATCTCCAAGTGCTTTCCCCGTATATCAAACCAAATACACTAATAGTAGGACTTCCGGGTCATGCAGGGTTCGAGCTGCAATGTTTACATATGTTACATAGCGAATCAAGGAAATGCGCAATTGTTGGCTTCGAATCTCTTCCCTGGGCATGCCGGATAATTGAATATGGTAAAAGGGTTCAACTACTTGGCTTCAAAGACATTCTTCATGCTTCCTTCTTACTTGGAACAAATTGTAATCTACAGTTTCCGGCTATTGAAACAATACAAAGTATCCTTGGTCCTAAACCAAGTATCAAGGTAGCCGCTAATGTTCTTGCAGTTGCATTAATGACAGGTTCGATAATGCATCCACCAATAATGTATGGTAAATGGAAGAACTGGGATAAAACTCCACTGGACGTAAAACCTTTGTTTTATCAAGGTGTGGACGAAGAACAGGCAAATATTGCCACAAATTTAAGCGATGAGGTTGTGAAAACAGCAAAACAAATTCAGGAGAAGTGTCCCGATCTTGATATGTCTGATGTAGTACATCTATCTGATTGGTTTAAAGCACACTACCAAGATGGGATTGCTGATAATAGTTCCTTGATGATGTCAATGAGAACAAATAGAGCATATGAAGGATTAGAACATCCAATGAAAGCCCTGGACAATGGATATGTTCCTGATTTCGCATATCGTTACACGACCGAAGATGTTCCATTTGGTCTTGTTGTATTGAAAGGATTAGCTGTAATTGCAGGTGTAGCTACGCCTACAATGGACAAGATTATTCAGTGGGCGCAAAGCATTATGGGAAAAGAATATATCATTGGAACAGATCTTGTTGGAAAAGATGTTAAGTTTTCGAGAGCCCCACAGTCATTTGGCCTCAACACTCTTGAACAAGTGCAAGCCTTTATCAATTCTCATATATGTGTAAATGCTTGAACTTAAAGTAATAGGCATCATGAATTTTGATTCTGCAGTGAAAATGTATACCGACTTTGAAGTTGCGCAGACATTTATTAGTAACGGAGGACAGACGCTGGGTAGTTTTCATTATCAGTTTATATAAAGTACGGAAATACCATTTTTACTGTATATGCCATATACTAGTTTCTAATGATAAATAAACAGACGAAATATTTATGACTTTGGAATAAAATAATAAATAATATATCAAATGGATTGTTTTAATAAACTTGTGATATAGGTTAATAATGCAAACGGGTTTATATCACACATACAGCGATCAAGGTAAATTATGCAAACGGGTTTATATTACACATACAGCGATCAAGGTGTGAAATCGTTACACAAATAAGTAAATCATATTAAGAATATTTCACGAACAGAGCGTACTTGAAATTTAAAAGAGCAGTAAAGTTTAATTTTCAGAAAAATATACCTTTTAACATTACCATTAATGTTGTATAACTTTAAACCGGTTTTGTTATTCAGTTTGCTGATATTAAGTTAAATTCTACTATTTCGCCGTAAAAATACGTTGCACTCATGGATTTTCTACTCCCGAATATTTTCGAATCCCTGACACACTAATAGCAAACTCAGGACGATGTGTCGCATATCATCATGACCTTCGTGTGACCTTTACCTCAAGATCAAAATACTAGATTTTTAGAGTTATTTTTGCGAAATTTCTCGGAAACTGGATTGCAATCAGGTACTCCCGATGTGTGGGCTCCACTTGGTCCCACATTAAACATATACAAAATCCAGGTGCTTTAATTTTCAATATGAAATGTTAGAAATGTCAAATAGTCGTTATAAAAAATATAAGATGGGTATTTCAAAGGAGACAACATATTTTCTTCTCGATATTTTTAGCAACGAAGGGTACAAAACTTTTACGAAAACGCGCAACGAACGGAACAGTATAAACAATTTCATAAATTAATGACTTTTTTTAGAAAAACATAATTATTACAATGAACTAGGTATGCGGGTATTTTCTGGAGGAAGATACGCTCACTAACCTGCCCATATATCAGTAGTATTTTAAAGTTATTTAAAGTTTGCATTTTTGAAGCATTTTTAAGTGAGTTTTTTGTGACCAAGGTTTGTAAACATACGTGCGTTTTGCATTCAGTAAGTACAGTTCGAGTTAAAATTCGAATTCTTTAATTAATATTGATTACTTAACATGCATACAACGTGAATAATATATTTTTGTATACAAACTGTGTACATAAATCAGATTTTTTTAGATCATATATTGGCATCTCTCAGCTTGTTCTTTATCGCTCAAAAACGCACAACGTCCGCATTCAACTATAAGCATGTACAATAAATTTAAATTGTAAATATCATCAATATTTAATTCATCAAATGAATGTTGTCAGTTTTTGCATGTCCAATTATCACATAAATCCACAATGAAAATCCATCGCACCTATAAAAAAAAATCCACATCAGAAATGATCGCACTTACAGTGATAATGCAACGCACCAAATGTCAAAATGAATCGCTTTCAATAACTTTATTCTATAGATTCTGTTGCTTTAAAGATATATTTTTGGACTTTAATCGTATTATTGTACATTGTAAAGTCACATTTTAATGAAATTTTGTTAAAACATACATTCAGTTTTTTTCCCCATCATCCTTCTACAATAGTAATTCTCGCATATGACAGTGAAAATGAACTATCTGGATTCGCACTTTATATACACTGATTATTATCTGTATTTGCTTTGGTTTTTTTGTCATGTGTATTGCGCGGTATATTCACGGTCGTCGTTTATCATGGACTCTTCCGCAGGCAATTTTATTGTCTCTCTCCTTAATTAATTGGAAAATGACTTTGTTAAAATTTAAGTCTTACTATAACTAAAGACTTTAATTACATACGAGCAAAGAGATAGGAACACTTTTCATTGTGTGTGCTCAATCACAGGGTCAACCGGGTAAAAATTGGAAAGTTGTTAAATCCTGCTTAAATTTAAATATTAAAGAGTCTATAATATGTTGAAAGTATTCTTTAACAGTCTTACATATGTTCATAAAATATATTACTCTGAAAGACAATGATGATAGAAAATGTAAAAACACGTGATCTATACATTAGTGACATTATTTAAGTTTAAGTTTTGGGCGATGGCAATAATATATTTGTTATTATAATATACTACTACTATAGTTTTGGTCGTAACGTGTACAAGTTTTACCATTAAAAAATAATTTAATTTTATTGAAGTTAGTTGTTGAATTCAGTTGTGTACATTTGCATTGCTCTATACATATTTAACATAAATAATAAATATACGGAAATCTGCTTTGACAATTTTTTTGTTGTTGACTGAATCTCCTTTTTGTCAATTAATATGCTCGTCTTGTTACACTTCATTGTTTAAATTTTGAAATTACACAAGAACTCAACTCTTAAGCAATTATATTAAATTAAATACATATTTCAAAATGTGTGATATTATTTCAAAAAAAGTTATATCAATTGCCAAAAGAGTACTAGCTGCGAAAAACATACGAAATCTTCACCCTGCGTCCGCTTCACGACCAACTGGGTTACGATTCTGTTCCCATATTCACAGTGGAGCAATAGTGAATACGTATACATGTGTATATTTGATAAAATAATGTCGTTCATTTCTATATTTATAAATCAAAATAATTGACAATGAAGTAAATCTTCCACATTTACACCAAGATAAATAAATTTCATTCATGATTTTCAATTGAAACACTTGTCTCTTCAAAGGTCAATCTTTGAACTTCATCCAAAATAACGATTGGGTTCGCTGAAATTTTCTTGAAATCTGATGTTTCCATGTAAATTTCAACACAAGGATATTTATATCGCCGAATGAGTTGTCGTAAACATAAATGTATTCTTTTCTGAACGATTAAACATTAACCCTGCCAGGAAAGGCTCAGCTGCGAGTATTCCGTCAGCTGCGAGTATTGGGACGGAATCGTTACCCTGTTGGGAGGGACTACGTTATATCTATCTAGTATATGTGTCGTCTTCGAAATACAATACGGTCAAGGAACTAACAAATCGACGAAGGTAAGATACATAACTCCATATGGCCACAGAAAAAAGAAAAAACCCAATATCAGTCCACATTACATTACACAGTGAACCGGGGATTAAAATACATGAACATGTAACACACGAAAACAGGGTGTTAGTTAAGGCGCTCCTCATGAGGTCATGAGTGGCCACAAAACCAACTGTAAACGGGGGAGGCGGATGGGGCTGTGTATTTTGTAAATTTAGATGTATTTTTTGTTGTTTTTCTACAAAACTTTGAAGTTGCGCGTGTTTTTATTCTTCGTGTTTTTTGTTAATAATTATACTCATTTATATAATAATGTTAATAATTGAATGACTTGTGTAGCATAAATATTCTAAGTGAGATACTTACTGACTAAGAAATACCAACAGTGCCACGGAAAATATAAGCTATAAATTGCATACTTATGGAAATGTCACACGATAGCGAGGTATTCATTATGACACCACAATCAATGAAAAAACAGCTATTTTTTATATACAAAACCTTGAACGAATGTTGATTCTATTATCCCACCCCTTAAGATCCCTTAGTTTTTAATGTGACCCTAAAACGTTCCTTATTTACCACAAAATATTAATCGAAAGCCTGAAAATCGGGACTTTTCCTATTGTTAACTTTCCATTCTTTGATGTCGAAGTTAACTTGTCCCGCTTCTGGAATTTTTATTCCCAACTGGTTCGCTATACGCATACCAGGATTTTTTATACGGAAGAATTCGGTTCTATTCATTATTAAAACTTTACCACAAATGTAAAGAATTCTAATGAATTATGAAACCGCTAGTAAGAATTAAGTAAAAGACTAGTCCATATTTCCCGTCCATTCAATTGTGTTATGCCATACTTTAGGAATTATAACGGAATATATCTTCTGCATGAGCAAAGTTTTTGAGCGTTGTGTGTATACTAGTAAGCACTTATTTAACTTCCTACGAGTTGATTACTGAGCACCAGTCTGGTTTCATGCCTAACGATTCGACAAGAAATAAACTTTTATATATTTGTTACGTACTTAGCAAAGCCCTAGACGAAGGCATTTAGCTATCAGATTTATATTTTTCGATATTAGTAAGCCTTTTGGCCGTGTGTGGCATAAAGGTTTGCTTTATAAGTTTCAAAAGATGGGCATTGTTAACGACCTTCTCCAACAGAAAACAGAGGGTTGCAATAAATGTAGTAGAATCTTCCAGGGATGAAATAAATGCTAGAGTACCAATAGGTTCAATTACTGTGCCCTTGCTGTTCCTCATTTACATCAACGATATTATAAATTGAACTAAGTTATAAGCTGTACTTTTTTTTTATTATGACGCCATTCAGTTAAGAGTTCAGACACATAAGCACTTAGGATTAACTTTCTTGAGTGATGGTACAAGGAATCATCACATCGAAAAAAAATACAGCAAAGGCATTACACCGACTTAACTTACTGCGTCGCCTAAAATTTAGGCTTGCCGGAAGATCTCTTGAAAAGATGTATTTTAGCTGCGTACGCCCATTACTTGAATATGTTGATGTTGTCTGGGATAACTGTCGCGAGTATTTAAAAAACAAGCTTGAATCTGATTACAGTATAGTTGTCGTCTGTTTATGTAGTTCATACGTGTTTCTCGTTTCTCGTTTTTATATAGATTGGACCGTTGGTTTTTCCGTTTGAATGGTTTTACACTAGTAATTTTTTTGGGCCCTTTATAGCTTGCTGTTCGGTGTGAGCCAATGCTCCGTGTTGAAGGCCGTACCTTGACCTATAATGGTTTACTTTTATAAATTGTAACTTGGATGGAGAGTTGTCTCATTGGCACTCATACCACATCTTCCTATATCTATTGAAAAAATTAAGATGCCGCACGCATCGTTACTGGTACTACAAAACTCATGAATTTACGTTTACTTTTGGCAGTGTGTGGGTGGAAAACTCTTCAATAGGATAAGGGATAAGCATAAACTTCTACTTTTTAATAATATATTTAATGGAAAGACCCCATGTTATTTTAAATGATATTCTACCTTATCAGTTTAGAAACACCAAAACAAAGCCAAAAAAACTGGCAAACAATATAAATAAGAAGATGTGGTATGAAACTCTCCATCCAAGTCACAATGTATGAAAAGTTAACAATTATAGGTC